CTACAAAAATTCCTTTATTCTCATAAACTATTTATTTTAAATGTAATTTATTATAAATCCAATTTGTTTCCTAAATTCCACATATGTACTACATTTTACCTCTGTACGCGCCACTGTTGTTTACTTGTTTTTTGGAAGCGCTCTCTAATTGACGGCAAAGCTCGCCAGCTTAGTATTTGACGTATAACCGACCAGTTCGTACACTCGATGCACCTGGGCGACTACAGCTACTACCAGAACACAGTGCGTATGCAGCGGTATTTCAGATTTTACATTGAATTTCATTTTAAATTTGAAATGATTTATCTTACGCCTCCTAAAAATGATGACACGATTTTCCTTTGATAAAAGACCGACAACTTTTTGCTCTACTTTGCATCGGATACGATCTTACTATAGATAATATCGATATTTTATACAGGGCATTTTTTATAATACGATCATTTTAAGAAAGTTGAAACTTGATTTTCTAAAATTTTTCAAATGGAACACCTTGTATTTTATTGTTCTATTTGATTCACATATCAGTCCAAAAGTCTTTGTCTAACATTTGCTTATAACTCTAATTATTTTGTTCAAAGTGTTAGTTAATACAACTTCTTCGAGGTCATGTTTTTTCTAAAATTCGGAGAATTTTCTACGTAACTTAGCAAACCTATACTAAAATGATAAACTGTTTATATTGCCATATATAGAATTTTCCCGAAAATCCATAGGTTTAAAAATATACAGGGTGTTCCATTTAAAAAAATGTAATATTTGGCGTGTCTAGTTTTTACTCATGGCCATGTATGTATCAAATTAATTTTGTAGTTTAGATTTCCTGATTCCGTATAACTTTTATATAAACTTTTTTAGTTAAATTTGAACATGTAGTAAATTTCACAGTGGAAAACTTACCTATACAATGGTTGTATGGTGGTTTTCAAAAAAGAGATGAATTTAGAAAACGAGAAAAATATAGGGTATTCTTTTTATTAAAAAATGCAAGTTTGGATTATATCTTCAAATTTTAACATTCAGTCGTCATTTTACATATTTCTTTGAGACCACAAGAAAATTTCCAAAAACTCTGATTATCAATTTTACCTAGATAAATAGAAAGGAAAAAAGATATGGGGAGTACAATGTTCTGTGAAAGTTCCTGTACATATATATGAGTTAAGAATAATGTTTCCTACTGGAAATAAAATATCTTGTAAATGTCAACAAAAATTAAAAAAAAAAAAACAGTTTAAACCTTAATCCATATTTCAGTAACTACTCTGTGTTTTTTCTAGCCATCTCTTAAGATTTCTTGGATTTTATGATGCGATTAGTTTATTTATATCCAACTGTCGAGCATTGTGGTAGTTATATTAAAATTATTAATGTTTCTCTTTATAATGTTTTGATGTCACGCAGTTGCTAGGAAATTTAAATATTTTGATAGTTTTCTCAATTACAAAATATCATACTGTACTATAACTATTAATTGGTGAATAATGATACTTTAATTTCCAATCAGCTTCAATGAATAACTGTTTGTCATTTTTTACTTTTCTCTTTTGTTGAGTCCAGAAACATGTATTTGTATAACAATTAGTTTATCCTTATGCTACGCAAGCAAATGGTCCCAAGAAGTCCAGATAGATTCCACATTAAATTTACTTCCCCTATAAATTTTTGTATTATTTTTCTTGATAACACCACTTCTTTATTTTTAGGAACTTGCTTCCCTGTTCTATATTGCTTACTATTAAACTACCTTTCTTCCTATTTATCTACACATTATTTACAACCGTTGGTTTCAATCTTTGTCTGGACGTATTTGACGTATAAAATTACTTTAGTAATCTTACCTACATACTTTTTGTTTTAGTGTACGATGCATCTGGCCGTTATACGGGTCAATTCTTCTTCGGAAACGATTATTGGCTCGGATCAAAGACACTGTGCAAAGAACTGACGAATATTGAGACAAACAAGGAGGTACCTCCATTTGAGGTTTATTTTTATGTGGCAAAAATTAGGATCAACATCAACAATCAAGCTACTCCCGTTGTAAGTATTAATAGCCACAGTATTTAATTCAGTTTATATTCAACGGAATTATGATATTACTGTTACTTTGTTGATGTTTATATTCTACAGGTTTTATCTACAGATAAGGTATGAAAGTGTATTGTAACAACGTTAAATTATTTTTTAGTAGATACATACTATACTTTCAATTAAATTTAAACATTCAATGTTTTATTAACTCAAATCATTTTTAAAAAGTTGTTTGTCTAATTCTTACATTATTATTAGTCTAACGTTTTCGTAATATAATTTGTTTGAAGAAGAATTGCGATTTTACTTTTTAGTTGTAATGTAGCAATTCGTAAGATAAATAAATAAACGCATTTACAATGGAAGGCAATTACTGTTAAATATATATGAGAACATTTTGCTTTGAAATTTATTTGGGGAACTGAAAGTGAAACGAAACAGTACCTGTCTGCGACCTGCGTCTGACATATTCTTAATCCACACATAACCGTGTACAAAATGCTGTTCGTCGAAACTGCTGTTGCAGGATGACTTCGGTTAATGGTATGAGGCATGTCAGTAAAAGTGCGCTTGCGACATGTCGGTAGATGCGCCTCTAGGATGTAACGCCATCGGAAGACGCACAGTCACTTTTTCATTAGGAGAACATGATATGTCGGGAGGTAATCATAAGAGCAAACGGATTCAAATTGTAGCTTGGATGCTCTTAAGTCTCTGTCGAGTCCATTTATGTGTTAGCTCGGTTTAGGTGACAGATTTTTTTTATGTAAAATTTGTGTATACACAGGGTGTCGTGGTTAAATGTGATAGAAGCCTGTAACTTCTTTATTTTTTGGCTGATTTCAAAAAATTCTTATTTAGAATGTAGGATAAAAAAATTCTATCTAAGTGTGATACGGCTGTTTTTATTATTGCAATACAGTGCCAACTAGGACGCGTTTTTTAACGTCAAATCAGCTAATTGGTATTAGCGATTTTTTTCCAAAAAACAGATTACGTATTCTCATTCAGCATCCCTTAAAACGTCTTATCACCAAGTCTCATCAAATTCGATACATCTTCAAGCGAGCACTTCAAGATGTTAAGCTTAAATGTGATAAAGCCTGTAACTTCATTTTTTGGCCGATTTCAAATTTTTTTTTAGAATATACAGCAATATTACAATAGTTTTGACCGGTATTGTTCGTAATTTTTCAGTGAAAACTTAAATAATCTCAAAGCTAAATATAGACACCTAATATTAATTAGCACATACTTGTAACACATACTCAAAATGAACAAACCCGTCTTTAAATAACTGCTAATTACATAAATTATAAACCTTTTTTACCGCATTTACATTGCTTTCAGTCTTCTTAAGTCTTACAAATAATTTAACTGAAATCTTTGCATTGTTGTTGCTAAAGATGTATACTAAATTAATTTCGTCGATGTTACTGTGTTTATTTGATTGCATATTACTTGGCGTAAAAAACTGAAATTACCGGAATTACCCATCTGACTGGTATTACCACCACCATCTATGCGCTTATGCCATCAAAATTTTGAGCACCACATTCATTTTACTTACCTGTTGGTAACTAGATATGGAATGTCCAGGTAAATGCAAACAATTTTAAATATTTTATAAAAAAAAAATGTACAACAAAGTTGTACTATTTTAGTAATTACTATTTTCTTCTGTGAACTAATAAATTGTCTAAAATGGAATGACAGGTCGATCGATGAAATTAAAAATCTATCTCCTAGCACCCTTATTATGATGACGTCAGTGTTGGAGCGATGATTCATCGACATTTTTTAAAATGAAATATACGTACCTATTTCTTCCTAATGCGGTATTATTATTTGAATAACACTATCAGAATATTTGCATAGTTCTTTAAAATATAGCTGAACAATATCCAAATACTTATACTTATTGTGTGCACTGGTCCATTGCGTCCTGATGCATGGCTTGTAGTCATTGAGCCGTGTTTTTCCTTTTCTTAATTTTTGCAGAAGAGTCAGTTCCAAATTCCAAGTCTTGACACCTGATCTTGATTGAAATTATCTCTATTCTTCTGGATTTTTATTGCCTCCTTCTACTGCCCTCATCATAATTCTGGTACTACCTTGTTAAGACTATAGAGATAATCGAGCCCCTTTAACCTTACTGCAAATCATAAAATTTGGTTCAGGGAGTAGAAATCTGATAACATAGCTGACCGTTACACTGGTTCTTTAGGGTATAGGATGGATAAAGCTACCACTTAACAATTTCGATGTACTTGATGACTATTTTATATAAACTGAGACATGCTATTAAGTATTTGTCTTTACATAGTTATTCAAAGTTCTGATGTGAATGTGTCTATAAAATTTATCGTGTAGCTGGCTGTCATCTCAGAAACTGAGATGTGACGAAGACATGAAACGATCTTTTTGCTCCAATTTTTCAGCGGATGGTAGCGATTAGGATCAATTGAGTGACTGAACTAACGTCATATGAACGAAATCGAAATTGCTCTTCTGACCAACATCGGTAGTTTAGTACTAAGATATCAGAAATCGTAGAGAAATGAATGAGCCCTCGTAAGATTCCAGGAGGTACATACCTGTATAAAATTTTAATCTGACAACTTCCGAAAGGATCAAGATTTAGCCCGAAATTAGTGAAATTTTGATGTCTAATATCAATGGAAATTAAGTATATCCCTAAATCTAATAAATCTCACTTTTACATCAAATTTGAGATTCTGTTCATGAAAATCGGTAACTTTGTTTTATATTTACATCAATACTGTTTGTAGCCTACTGGTTTGTATCCACGTTGTGTACTTCTTGTGGCTCTATCAGTGGGACAGATATACACCTCGAGTAATTTATTGCTATCGGAAATTAATACATTCTTTAATATAGAATATATTACTGTACTATAAATGAAGGGAACATGGTATACTAGATAATAATTAATTTAAAGGCACCAAAAGATTGGTTCTTGAACAATAGACATCTTATTTCTTAGGAAGTTTTTTTTAAATATGATTGTATTGAAGATTTCGATTACTTTACTATGTATGTACATGGAAAGAATTTGCTCATTTTATACTTATCGTTCTAATGCGTATAAATTTATATTGTAATAAATTGAATGGAAGCCTTCACAATAATTCGCAAGAGCCATTAAACTTAATTAATATTTCCAGACGAGGCAGTTGAACCTGGGTGAGTGCCTGCCTAGGTCTTGCGGTGTGGCTGGAGTTCGCATGCTGTTGGCACAAGAACGCAATCAAGGGGCATCGGTAAATATTGTGGGTGTACGAGAAGTTCCTGGGAAATACTCTCTATTGTCTGATTTGAAAGTTCACATTTTGGGGTGAGTATCCGGAGGGTAGAACACCATTGGACTCGTTCCCCGTTGTTTTTTTTAATTATCTTAGATTGTCCCTTTGTATTTGATCAAATGCGTGTGTTTGGAAAATTGAAAATTATATTTGTATTTACTATTCTTTCTTTGAAAAACTCCGTGTTTCGCATACCACATATTATTTTTTATAGGGTCTTTGTCTGTTTTCAGTCACTTTTAATTTTTTTAGTAGGTATTTCAGACACGTATGTATATGGAGTAAAAACGCAATGCGGATAGCGATGCCCCCCATTTACAAGGAAGGTAAAGCTCGAGAACATACGGTTACGTCACCCGTACCCTTATCCTCCCTCCCCCAAAACCGACCAGAAACTACCCACGGAAACTCATATATAATCTTTTCCACCGGCCACATCTATTTCATAATCCATACGCAAGGGAGATAAAGCCATCAAACATAATCACCCCAATACCTACTCCCTCTAATGGCCAAAAGGGGTTACACACGTTTCTGATCTATTCCACCAACCGGTTCTCCTCCATCCCTGTTTCTGAGGATGATGGACCACACAAACATAATGACACGCTACCATCATTCTCTCTAACCACTCAAATGCGCCATGCATAACAGGTATGTGTAGATTTTGGATGACTAGATTTGACCACTGATATACAAAAAGCGATTTCTCCTGTTTTAAGAGTGATTTTGGCGGGTTTAAGCGGTTGGAGAGGATGGAGGTAGCGTGACATTATGTTTATGGCGTCCTCATCCTCATAAAAGGAGATGCAGGAGAAGCGGTCACTGGAACAGATCAGAGACGCATGTAACCCCTTTTGGGGTTGGTTCTTGGCCAATGGGATAGAAGGTGTGGATTGTGTGACAATATGTGGGTGGGTTTTATCTCTCTTGAAAATGGGTGACATCGCTATCCTCCATCTACTCACGTGTCTGAAATGCTACAGGCAGGAGTAAAAGTGGCCAAAAAAACAGACAAATGGACCATCTGCCGCTATTTATATAATCGGAAATTTATTCCAGGGCCAAAAATAACTCGTATTCACAGCAATTTTCAATTTTGACCGGGACCGCTTTTCATTATAATTAGTGGTCCTTTAATACAGTTCAGCATCTTAGTAACTTCCTACACATAATTTTGATCAAATATTGATCAGTATCATTAGAGTTAGAAGGGGTTTTAGAAGTTTCCACCATAAAAAAGTTGGAGTTTAGATAATTCATTTTAATAATCAATTACGTACTAATTATTGGCTTGTCTACTATGCATTTGTTTCTTTAATATTTGATAAGAATATGATACAACTTTTAGAGTTAATTACCATTATCTTAATACCTTTAAGGTAAAATAAAAATACAAGAACTAATAAGAATAAAACGTTTTAAAACAGTTGAATTCATTATTGAAAGTAAAAAAATCTATTTAACAAAAATAAAAAGATAATGAAGTTGGTTTACACCAATAAATCGACATAAATAAGAAACATATTTTCTAATAAGTTGTAGACGTTGTTTATACTATGAAATTTAGTTCTAGAAAATTACTTCGAACACATTGAGTAGGTGCATTCTACAACAATGATTTCATGCAAGCGGTCATTTTATGCCAGCCCTTGGCCTAATTGTAGTGATGTGTATTTTTATATCCGTAGGTGGCTTACTGTTACTATATAACAAGGTTCAACTACTTTCCCTTCTTTAAGTCTCTCTTGAGAAAGAAAATTTGAATTTCTGGGTAATTCCAAATCGATTTATATTTATACAATAATACTATTCAGCTGAAAAATGTATTTAATAATCATTAATTCATTGGTTATTTAGGTACTCAATAATACCATCATTTTCTAAGAAATGTCTTTAAATTTGGAGCACTGATGAAGTTATTTCATAAATTAATTTTAAAAACTGAAATCTTCGAAAAAATTATTTGTGCAAATAATTCTTAATTTACTTTCTATACTTAAATTAATTAGTTTTTCCCACAGTTATCGTTTATTTAAGCATAATGATAATGTGGTAAATTAACAACTACTAACTTACTGAATGATTGTTAAATACATTTCTCAATGTTAGAGACTAATGGAAGAACAAAATCGATGGAAAAAGTTGTGATATTCTATAGTGAAATAATATATTTGCAATACTTTAGTATTCTACTGTATCATATACATAGATACTTATATGAAAATAATTAACTTAGCTACTTCACAGTTGTTATGCGAAATGTTTTAATTAATTGACATATCTTATCAACAGTGCTAAGAGCTAGTATAGCTATAACTATAGCTATAGTTATAATTGTTTTTAATTTAGTGAATGTACGAAAATTTTGATAATGCTTTTATATCTCCCATTTTTGATGGTTTTTTAAATTTAATCTCGGGTTATATGTCTTCAGAAAGGAAATAAACATTTCCGAAAACATAAAGTGTTCTTATTATACTAGCCCTTAGCATTGTTGACTGCAATCCCTAATACATTACTGTTTTTTTTCTAAACTAGTCAGGCTACCTTTCCTGTGAAAAATATGAATATAGTTTTTGGAATTGATAAAATATTCTGTCATATCTTAGGCAATTAACATGAACACAGTTAAAGATTGAATTAGGTATATCAACAAAATTTTAAAATTTAATTACGAACAAATAAATTACTCCGGTACCTACTGACATTACAAGGAATAACACAGCAGTGTGTTGGAACAAAAATATTTTCATAAATAACATTTATTAACTGCGATTATCTGAAACTATTCTTAAATTTGGAGTAGGGAAAATAGTACTTACCTAATTTTTAACATATCGTTACGCTACACTCTTATATTTTAACGTATATTCTTATCGTTATGTGAGACATAACCTATAAAGTACGTCATATTCTATTGCTTTAATTTTTAATTTGCAGGTTATATCTCACCCACACTTAAAATATATCTAACAGATAATAGCTAAATCGTTCATCGATAGTCTCATGAGCAATTTTTAGCTCTTTTAGCTTGATTGCGAATATAATTCAATTCCGCATGGAACATGAACTCGTAGATTAGTTGTTTCTCAAAATATCATTAGTAAAAAATTCTTCTGATTCTGATATTTTCGTGTTTTAGTGGAACTGTATTAATTACAGTCGCTATAATTGTGGTAGCATCACTAACAGAAATAATAATAAAGAAACGACATAGACTAGTAGAACATAAAGATGCTGAAGTGGAGAACAACAATCAAAACCAAAACAACAACAATAACAATGTAGATGATAATAAATATGTGAAGCGAAGTACTGAAATGGTTCTGAAAGAAGAAAATAATAAAACAAATAAAACTAGAAACGGTAAAATTTATTTTATTTACTTTAATTACAATTTTTGAATATTGTTTTTTCTTGTAGGTATATTTTTAAGGCTATTGCTGTCTTTCTCTGCCGTAAGCAATGGGAAGAAAATTATTTCAGTGGACAGAGTATCAATGGAGTCGATAAAATGTATCCACGGATTGAGATTCTTTTCCATAGGCTGGATCATATTGGTTCATTCATACCTCGAGTTATTTGCAATTGCTGATAATAAAAATTTAAGGATTTTGACCGAAAGAGGTTTCATGTATCAGACGATCTCTAACGCGACTTTCTCCGTAGACACTTTCTTCTTTATTAGGTATAAAAATTTGTTTTAACGGAACAACCACCAAGATTGCCAGGTCTAAGTCTCATTAACTTAATAAGTATATTATTTGTTGTAAACATGTTAAAATTATTTTTACAACTGAATTGTTTATTTCAGTGGTCTCTTGGTAACTCTACTTTACTTCAGAACGGAGTCTAAGAAACAGCTTCCGAAGAAACCAAAGAATACCTGCGAAGATATCCAGGCGAACACACTAAAGTTTCTGTTTATGTTACTTTACAGGGTTTTTAGACTGACGCCAGCCTATCTGTTTGTTTTGGGAGCAAACGAAATTGTTTTGAGGTACATACATAACCATTCCGTGTTTTCCCCTGCAATTATCGATCACGTCAACTGTGACAAGTTCTGGTGGAGAAATGCTCTCTACATAAATAATTTCTACCCCAGAGATGAGTTTTGCATGTTGTGGTCTTGGTATATGGCAAATGACACTCAGTTTTATATTTTGGCCAGTATTTTATTACTGATTGCTGTGAGGTAAGTGGCACTTGGTAATATAAAAGACAAAATTTAAATATATTTCTTTTATGGATTCTATCTAATCTACTTTCAGATAATATGGTGTATTTTACAAATTTATTTGTTTTTTTATTAAAACAAAACGAGGTTATTTGAGGTTTACGTTTGAACAACGAGGTGTATAAAATAGTTTTAAAATTATTATTAAACTCAATGATCATTAAAGAGTTAGTTTCCTTGTCATACTTAGGTATATATGTTTCTTCATACCTAAAGAAATGTTTATTTTACTACTCATTTTTTACTAAGTTACATAGAAAGTTGAATTTTTGCTAACTTACATCAGTGATAATTTTTATTAGGTATACATAAATATTCAGAGGTTTGTAGTAAGCATATGAGTTAATAATTTGTTGATCTACCACAGCGTTGATCAACATTTGTTAATACATCTAGGTATGGCTTTGATTATATGATCCTGTTGGAGTATCTGATTCTAGGCTACATCATCTTACTTCATCAAGGCCACTAGAGCCAGATAAAATATATTAATAATAATTATTTAACAACCACACCAGGTCTTGGCTGGTTATAGCAAGAGATTGGTTTCACTGATTGCAGTAGCCCAAAACTACATTTATATCATTTCAAATGTTGTAACTGATACAGTAGGTATAGTTAAATAATTTTTTATACGACTGCCTTGCAAAAGGGGGGTTTGCGCACGGAAAACACGCCCTGAAAGCGGTATTTTGCACATGCCGTGTGCTATACATTTTGCACACGGTTATGTCATCTTTGCACACGCGTCTCCAGATTGTGATTTTTGTTTGATGTTGTCACCCAAATTATGCAATGTTTCAAATTGGCTGAGTTTCATAGCAACCGTCACGGCTCCTTTATTTTGTTGATTAGATACTTCAAAAATTGTTGAATTCCCGAAGTTTGTGTGTGGAAATGTGTGATTCTGAAGAGATTTTACAGAAAGCAAGCGAAATATGTTCGGAACTGCTGCCCACAAAATCCAGAAGCAGGTATGAAGCTGAGTTAAGCCGATTGATGGACTGGCGACTAGCCAAAAATGTCCAAACTTTCTCATGTAGTCTTATTGACTTAAATATGAATTAAACTTGATTATGTAATTTATATAACTCAAAGAAATACAGTAATAATGCTGAATATATTATTATGTTTACAAAACGTCAATCAATTCTAAATCTGACTCTCGCCTTCTATATAACTGTTCGCAACAGATATATCGTCACTTAGTAACTGGACTCGGTCCGCACTTGTTTGTTGGTGCTCCGCTTGTCTCGTATTTCTTGGATCACTTATTTTACCACTTGGTATTTTTAAATTCTTGATTTCTCTAACTTGAATCTTTTTTCACTCTCTCGCTTATTAACTGCTTATATTTCTATAGGTTTTCTTTTCTTTCTTCAACAACTGTCGTTTTTCAAAATTATTTCCGTAACTAATCAATAATAATCTATTTTCTTTTTTTTTACTATCTTGATTTTTCTTTACCTTCTAATGGCCTTTCCACATATCTTTTAACCTGCCATGTTCCTTTTGTAATTCACTTCATTTCACTTTCTCCTTTGCACTTATACACCCTATTCTACTTTCTTTACAATCAATTTTGCCTTATACTTCAAAATATTTCTTATTTTATAATATTATTTGACCTTTCTAGTGACTACTGAATTCCTTGTGGATCCCACTTTAAATTTGACATTTTTCTGACATATCCTTTTAATTAATCTACAAATTGTCTTTCGATTTTAATATCTTTTATTAACTCTTATTCTACCTTATTTTTTT